GGACATTATTGTTGGTTTGCCTCGCACCCAGTGACAACATGATTCGATTTGGGTGATAGTAGATCGGATGACAAAATCGCCTCATTTCCTTCCCGTCAAGGTTTCTTATTTGGCAGAGGACTATGCCAAGATGTACGTGAGAGAAATGGTAAAGTTGCATGGAGTGCCTTTGTCCATTATTTCTGATCGTGGTACCCAATTCGCTTCTCAGTTTTGGAAGTCATTCCAAAAGGGTCTTGGTACTCCCGTTAAGCTTAGTACGACCTTTCATCCCCAAATTCATGGTCAAGCAAAGCGTACTATCCAAACTTTGGAATATATGTTGAGAGCTTGTGTGATTGATTTTAAGGGTAATTGGGATGACCATTTGCCATTGATTGAGTTTTCTTATAACAATAGTTATCACTCGAGCATCGATATGGCTCCATTTAAGTCCCTTTATGGTAGGAGGTGTAGATCTCCCATAGGGTGGGTTGAGGTGGGTTAAGTTGCCCTAATAGGTCTCGAGTTGGTACATGAGGTCATAGAGAAAGCTCGACTTATTAGAGAAAAATTGAAAATGACTCAAAGTCGGCAAAAGTCATATGTCGATGTGAGAAGAATGGATCTTGAATTTAATGTTCATGATTGGGTTTACTTGAAAATTTCGCCCATGAAGGGTGTAATGAGGTTTGGTAAGAAAGGAAAGCTTAGTCCCCGGTATGTAGGCCCATATCAAATTTTGAGATGTGTTGGTAAGGTTGCTTATGAACTAGATTTGTCTAATGAGTTGGCATAGGTGCATCCAGTTTTCCATGTCTCTATGTTGATGAAATGTGTTGGTGATTCGACATCCATAGTTTTCTTAGAAGGTTTGGGAGTTAAGGAGAATCTTTCATATGAAGAAGTTCCGGTTGAGATTTTAGACCGACAAGTCAAGAAGTTGAGAAATAAGGAAGTAGCTTTCGTGAAAGTGTTGTGGAGGAATCAATTAGTTGAGGGTGCTACTTGGGAGTCCGAGGCCGATATGATGTCCCAATATCCTCATCTTTTTCCTTCTGCTCCTATTTTAGCTTGAGGTAATGAGTTCCTCTTGGTTTGTCCTTTGTTTTGGAGCCATGTGTTTGATGTGTTTCCATGATTTCCTTATGTTATACATGTTCAGGAAAAACTAGTGTTTTGAAAGAAAATGCATTTACATGATTGATTTTCCTCATGTTGTTGTGCATTGAGAATGAGTTGCCTATAGACTTCATGAGATAAATTGTTTAACATGCTTTAGATATGCTTTTTGAGAATGAATTGCATATAGGCTCCATGAGATTGTGTTGAGTATTCTTTTAGCTTGGAGAAGGTAGTTCCTCCTTGAACATGAGTGATTTTAAAGTTTCATGCATATTGGGTTGCTAGATGTAGTTCCTACTTCTGTATGATGCATTGGGTATGTTTAGCTTGGAGTTGATGGTGCATTGCATGCATGATTGGCTGTTAGACTTAGTTTCACCCCTCTTATGATGATTTGATAACGTCCTAGCTTGGAGTCGATAGTTCCTCCATGGTTATATGCATTCGGATGAAGTAACATTGTAGGTTGGGTTGTTAGTTCCTCTCCTAAATCTTTTAGAACTAGTTTGAATCTCATTCAAGGACGAATGATCTCAAGGGGGGAAATAATGTAACACCCCGGATTTAGTAAAGGGAAAATATTCACTTCCTTAGCCAACTAGGCGAAGTAGGGTGCGATCTGCCAAGTGGAACCTCATTGCCTTTTGGCTTGATCCCTAATGTCCTGCATTATGTAACTTTAGGCGAGCCAAGCCCAGGTCGGGCGCTCCATTCCATTTAGTGTGTCTCCAAAAGTCCCTCCCCCATCGCCTAACGAGCCTAGCTCCTAGGTCGGCTTACTTTAAAATTAGGTGAGCTAAGGGCTCATTTGGCGAGTCGCAAAGTGCCCTTTGGCGAGCCCAAGCGAGTAGTGATTTTAGTCATACGTCAGGGTCATTTGTGTCATTTCAAATTTATTTTAATTTGATACTACGTCATTTTACCCTTCATCTAGAGACCTATATAAGCATTCTACTATCAAATTTCCCCAATTTAAGACCCATTCTCTCAAGAATCTAAAAGAAGACCAAATCTCCTCTTCAAATATTCTCTCTATAAACTTGAAGAAGAAGAAGGATTCAACCTAGGGTTTCAAGTCAAGATCTCAATTCCTCCATTGAAGGCTAGAATTTAAGGTATGATAGTTTTCATCCATGAATTTCTTTCATCCATGGAGTTCCCAAATTCCTCTATTTCAAAGGGTACAATTCCCCAATTGAGTTAGGGTTTTCTTCAATTGTCATGGGTTCTTTTCATTATTGATTTAAATGATTGAATTGTGATCTCTTATGCATGAATTTATGAAATACAATGATTTTATGATGATTTACCCATGAACCCATGTAATCCTCAGGTTTTCAAGTTATGAATCATATGATGTGGGATTTTGAGTATAAAGCATAAGTTTTATGAAATTAAGCATGTATTGCTAGCTTTACATGAATTTATGATTAAATCCATTCTAACCCATGTTTTTTAAGTATTGATTATTGAAAGTGGGTTTTGAATCTTAAGAGGCAAATTATGGACTTATGCATTTTCTTATGAAATCTATGCAAATGTTTAAAGGGTGCTTTGAGAGTAAAGTACCAATGATAATGATGATCATGATGTGTTATTGAAAGAATTTTCTCATGTACACATAAGACCAAGATATGAAAGGTTTTCTCACATAGAAAGGATTCTTAGGTTGGAAGGCTTTCTCACCTAATTGAATCAAAGAGTAAGAGCTATCCTAATGAACTTAGCTTGGATTGGTTGTCCAAGGACACATTTCCATGGATTATGAGATAAGTCAAGACTTAATAACTACCCCATGGAATTTATGCTTAGCACCGAGAGGATATTGATATTGAGAGGGAAGCTCTCCCATTAGTAGAGGCCGAGTTTCTAGAAGCAATCTCATGAAATGGAAGCTCTCCCGTTATTAGAGGTCAAGTTTCTAGTAGCAATCTCCTTATCCCTTAACTATGTGCCTCGATAGGATGATTAGCTAGTGGATCCACTTAAGCTAGAAGTTCATGGTCCTTACCTTGGTAAGTATAACAACCCTTTTCGGTGTGGGAGACATTGGGGGATCATGTTATAGCTCACATGGTCTCTATGTCGGTTAAGGCTAATTCCCACATTAATAATGAACTAAGGTTACTTCAAGAAGTATCGCATATGAGTTCAAAGGTTTTAAAGATGATGTTAGCTTGCATTGACCATGGTTTTATGACTTATGTTTCTAACTCTTTCATATCATGTTTTAGCTTGGTCAATTGCATGTCATGAAATGAAATGTCCATTTTCGCATGATTTAACTTTTTTAAGCATGGATATCATACTTGGTACATTGTTTTGTATTAATGCATACTCTTGCCTACATTTTCCCAAATATAGGGTCCAATAGTCAGGTTTCTCAGTTTCGTGGCTAGTGGTTGAGTTCGAGATTTCCGAGCTTTGGCGAGTCCTCATGCTTCGAGGACGGACCTTTATTAATTCAGTTTCTTTCATGTATTTCTCTTTTGGACATGATGTATGGGCTAGGCCCAATGTAATTCTATTGTACTAGATGGCTAAATTGAGACAAGTGTTTTAGACTTTCGCTTTTCGTTTTATAAAATTATTGGACTTGGACTATTGTTTTACTCTTATTGTTCTATTTCTTATGTTGATATAATTATTTTAGTAAATTTGACTGTAAATCAGGATTTTATCACTTAAAACTAGAAGAAGAATCTAAAAAACTTACAGCATTCACTGTACCACAAGGATTTTACGAATGAAATGTATTACCATTTGGATATAAAAATGCACCAGGAAGATACCAACACTTTATGGACAACTACTTTAAACAATTAGAAAATTGTATAGTATATATAGATGATATACTATTATATTCCAAAACACAAGATGAATATATAAAATTATTAGAGAAAATTATACGTATTGTAGAATATTCAGGCATAAGCCTAAGTAAAAAGAAAGCAGACATAATGAAAAAACAAATAGAATTCTTAGGAATACAAATAGATAAAAATTGAATAAAAATACAAACACATATAGTACAAAAAATAATTAACTCAAATGAACAATTGGATACAAAAAAGAAATTACAATCATTTTTAGGATTAGTAAACCAAGTGAGAGAATATATACCAAAATTAGCAAAGAATTTAAAACCATTGCAACAAAAACTAAAAAAAGATATGGAATATCAGTTTGATAAAAAAGACCAAATACAAATACAAAAAGTAAAACTACTATGTAAAAATCTACCTAAACTATATTTTCCAGATGAAAACAAAAAATTACACTTATATAGTAGAATCAGATGCGAGTGAAAAAAGTTATGGAGGAGTCCTAAAATATAGGTATGATAGAGATAAAATAGAACATCATTGTAGATATTATTCAGGAACATTTACAAATACAGAAATAAAATGGGAAATAAATAGAAAAGAGTTATATTCAGTATATAAATGTTTGCTAGCATTTGAACCATATGTTGTATATAACAAATTTATTATAAGAACATATAATACACAAGTAAAATGGTGGCTAACAAGAAAGGTACAAGATTCAGTTACTACAAAGGAGATAAGGAGATTAGTATTAAATATATTAAATTTTACATTTACAATTGAAGTGATAAGAACTAACAAAAATATTGTTGCAGATCACTTATCAAGAGAAAGCTACGCAAACTGAAAAAGATACAACCATGGAAGAATTACTTAAAACCATAGCTATACTTTGCACAAAAGTAGACAGCATGGGCGAAGAAATAAAACAGATAAAAACTGATCTGAAGTCTAAAACTCAGTCGCATGACTCTAAACATGCAGAGCTACGTCGATCGGAAGACGAAAAAATTCCAGAGATAAAAGGTGACGTTGGGAAACTCCCTAAAACCCATAATATTTGTTCAATTACAACTGCAGGTACAAGCAGACATGTTAGTGAAAGACAGCATAAGAATATAAATTTGAACAAGCTATTTGAAAAACCATTTACCCCAAACATGTCAAGAAACCTTTGATCACAGAACCACAAACCTCTACATATGCAGATAGCCTACATCATGACAAGAAAACATATAACCATATCACATGTACCTATATAGAAAATATATATAAAATCCAAACTTACCTTAACCTTAACCCCAGATCCACTATAACCAAAGAACCAAACAAAGACTACCTAACCCAGAAACTACAAGGTTATAATAAATTAATTGCACAACCAAAAACTAATGCAAATTTAGTCAAAACATGTTATAATTATGGATTATTAAATACAGTATACACCTACGATGGAGAAGACATAAGTGGAATACCAGAATTACATAAAGCATTTATCACATACAAAAGAGTAACCAAGGGAAGCTTATTTTATATAAAATTCTATACGGCACTAGCAGAGATACTATATGAGGATATAAAAACACCGATCCAAGTTGTTAAGATAGGACTGACAAAAGATATGATTATACCAAAAGATATCGGACAACAATCAGAAATACAAAAGATCGAGATACCCAGCTTTTATGCTAATAAGAGAATAATCGGTATATCAACTATCATCCAAGAGTTAGCTAACAATTATTTAAACGGAAATGCTATATGGAGTTATTACTCTAGAGAACAGTTAATGATTTATTCCAATTCAAGGGAGCTAAGGAAAGCGGATATGGATGAAGTCCAGAGATGGATTTTATCATTACTTAAACCAGAAGAACGACCTACAACACGAGCACTAAAGACGGAAATTATTTCAACAGAGTTATTAACTAGGTACTGCAAGTTAATAGGACATAAGTACCCCGATCATATATGTTCAAAATGTAATGGCGAAGATAATATAATTCCAGATGTCCAACTAGAATGATCGGTATAAAGATGCAAAGGAAGAGATAAAGACCAGAGATAGAGACAAGGAAGATAAAGACAAGGAGACAAGAAGATAAGAGAGACAAGGAGATAAGAGAGACACGAAGATAAGAGAGACAAGAAGATAAAGAAGAAAAGATGTAAAGAGAAAAAAGATAGTAACATAAAGTAAATACTATTTACTTTTCTGAAAGGCCAAAGTATGAATAGTGAGGGCCAATGAATAGCAGAAGTCATTTGTGAATAGTAGAAAGCAGATGTAAACAGTAGGAATCATTTATTTTCCTATAAATAGGCATAAATGTAAACACTGTAAAGCAAGCCTTGATTACGAAGCAAACTCACTTGTAAAAACACTCTTAATATATTTGCATTTAGAAACTTAATGGAGCAACTAGATAATTCAGATATCATGGAGAAGCAAGAGGCAAAGGTATATTGTTCATTAAATATGCAGAACTAAATTCATATATTCCTTAATATCATAAATATGATTGAATGAGTTTATGTAGAGCTATGGATGAAAAGAAAACTAATCGTAGAAGGTTAAGAAAAAGTAAAAAGAAAATTATCAAAACTATACCCAGAATATAAATAATTAAATATCACTAAAATAGATAATTATAAATTAGACCAACTAATAGATACTATATCTAAAATAGAATATAAATATATCCAATGTTTAAAGATACAATGAACGAAGAACAGTATAAACAAAATCTTGTTGAAACAATTATAACAAAAAGACAAGAATTAAGACATAGGCAAAATAGGCTTAGCAGCAATATATTTGCAGGAACTTGTAAAAAATCTATAATAGCACAGAGAAAAAGTATTTTATATCTACAAATACAAATAGAAAATTTAGAATATAAACTTCAACACAATCTATAAATGAATAAACAAGAATATGCAATAGATGAAAAAACATATGAAAATTACGATGGATTAAAAATAAAGATAGTATTTTCTAATCTAGGAAGAAGATATAAGAAAGTAGGTGATAATCTAAATTTAATGTTAGAAAAAGAGACAGTAAATTAGAAGATAGCTTAACTGCTATGGTAATAATAACAAAAGAAAATGAAGAAATAGATAGACAAAAGGAAATTGAAAAGGTAAAACACCAGGCAAAAAAGGAAATACAACAAGTGGAAGAGATAAAAAACACTAAAATACTAGAATTAGAAAAAGAATTAGCAATAATGTATAAAATAAAACAGAAGCAAAATTAACAGTTGAGATAAATAAATTTAAAGAAAAATTACAACTAGAAGAAAATCAAGATAATCTACCTGAAATAGACATTGATTAAATAAATGATAATTATCTAGAAGAAAAACATTCAGAAACAAGCGAAACATACACAGAACTTTTAGAAAACATAGATGATACAAAGAATCTAGAAGTAAACACGGGAGACGTAGACATGGATGAAAAACCCAATACATCAGGAGTAAAAAATCCAAAAAACTTAAATCCAAGATATTATAACGCAAACTATGAACAATATGATAGAGAAAAAACTATATGGGGATAAAATATTAAATAAAAAATGGACACCTAAACCAATAACTGAACAACATAATTTCTTAGATTTAGACTGTGTAGCAGATATAAATAAAACAATTAATAGATAACAAGATAGGAATGGCAGAAACGTCAGGATACATAGAGAGAACACTTATAGGAACAGTAAAATTATGGCTACAGAATTAACAAATGAAAGTTTAAACACTCTAAGATGTAATAAAATATTTGATGGTGAATTAGCTACAACAACTATGGAAATATTGTATAAATACGAAATAGCTATAAGAAATGAATTTAGTAGTATGACAACAAAAGTAGAAGAACAAAATAAAGAAAAAATTATAAACAGGAATCTAATGACAAAATTAGCAATATGTAATATGTGTTATATAGATGAGCATACATGTGCATTTAGAGAATACTGTTATAAAGGAACATATAGTACAGAAGAAAGTAAAGAAATAAGGAAACTATATTTTACAAAATTACCGGAACCTTTTAGTTCAAAGGTAATAAGGAGTTGGAATTAAGCAGGACTAACAGATACCTTAGGAGCTAGAATGAAATTCTTACAACGATGGTTTATAGAACTATGTGAAAAACAGAAAGAAGAAATAAAAATGAAAAAAATATTAGTAAAAAACCTAGCTTGTTGTAAAAATAAAATAGCACCCCAATTTGGATGTATGTATAGGTATTATAAAAAGAAGTATAATAAAAATAGAAACTATAAAAAATATAGATCAAAATATAAGTATAAAAGGCCAAGAAGGAATTATTACGTAAAAAACTACAAAACTAAAAATCCATATAGACCAAAGAAAAAATTAACGGAATGTACTTGTTATAACTGTTGAAAATTAGGACACATAGCTAAAGATTGCAAATTACCTAAAAATCCAAAGAAAAAACAAATATCAGAAATACTAATAGATAATGAAAAATATATACAAATAGAATATATAGATTATGAATTAGAAAGCGATGATAGCATATATGAATTATCAGAAGATGAAATAAACGATAAAATAATAGAATCAGATAATGAATTCTATATAGATGACTGAGAAAGATATACAAATAATAACTAAAGAAGAATATCAAGATGAAGAATCTTTAGAACAAAAAATAATATTTGACAATAGTATATTTGAACAGATAAAAGGAAAAGAATTAGACCTAAGCATAGAAAAGATATTAGAAGTACCAACAATAAAAAATTGGTTTAAAAGACAAAAAGAAGAATATTATGTGGTAAGTCAAAAAGAACATATCATAGACTGTAAATATACCAAAGGAAAGGCTAAAATACCAATAATAAACAAACGAATAATAAACAAAGAAATACAAGATATTAAAGCTAAAAACTCAATTAAATATGTACACTTGGGAGGAACAGAAATACTAATAAAAGCATGTTTCAGAGAAGGAATAGATGCACCTATAGAAATATACTTAGCAGACGATAGAATTATACAACCTATAGAAAAGAGTATAATAAGTGCAGTAATAGGTAACCTAATATATCAGAAATTTAAATTTATAATAAGTGCTAATTACTCAGTAGCAATAAATGATAGAAACATAGATAAATCATTAGTATTATATTGGAAAATGTCAGGAATAGAACTAGCCCCAAGAAGTAAAATATTTACAGCAAGATGTAAAAATTTATATGTACTAACAACAAAACATAAAATAATGGCAAAAAATAAGATAAACAAGATAAAAATAGAAAATCCTTTTGAAAAAATAGTTACAGTTATAGATAATAATGACTATAGTTACACAGAGATTGATGTAGAAGAAGACTTAGATATAGTAAAAGAAAGATTAAGCACATCTAGTTCAAAAAGAATAAACTATGAAATACCTCAAACATCATCATAAAAAATAAGTACATCAAGAAAAATAGATTACCAAACTCCAAAACCAATAGGACAAATGACAGAAGAATTAAAACCTTATCATTACTAAATAACGGGAGTAATGGCACAACGAAAATATCTAATATTAATAAATACTGGACAAGAAGAAAATTATATCACAAGAGAATTGGTAACAGAAGATGAGATAATAACTTATGCACAAACATGTTCTGAACTACCAAAAGCATTAATAAATACTGAAGAAACAACAGAAAAGGAAATAATTATTGGAGGAATACTAATGATAATACAATTTAAAATTTATCAAGGAAATGAAAATATTACACTAGGAATAAAATGGTTAGAACAAGTAAAACCATATAATTTAGAAGATAAACAATTAACAATAAATTATAATAATAAGAAGGTAATAATAAAAAGAACTTTATTATGATATTATAATAACATGAAAATATATATACTTGCAAAGATAATAATAGAAGGATATTACAACAGATATTATACACCAATGATAGATACAGGAGCAGAAGCTAATATATGTAAATACAATTGTTTACCAGAAGATAAATGGGAAAAATTAAAAACACCGATAAATGGGAAAAATTACCAGAAGCAAGAGGCAAAGGTATATTATTCATTAAATATGCAGAACTAAATTCATATATTCCTGAATATCATAAATATGATTGAATGAGTTTATGATAGTTATTATGTATTAGAATTATACGGAATCATGCTTTCTAGTTTATTAGCAAACAGGAAAAGCGAGAAACCTTCTATAACTATGCCATCCTAAAGTTGAAATCGGAAAGGCAAGAGAAGCCGTGATAGGGGAGTAAACACAGTTGAGGCGCTGTTTAGGAAGAAAGTATCTGCTAAAGTACGATGCTAATAGTGACAGGAGAACATGATAAACGGATAATCTAGTTCATAATGATCTAATATAATCCTATTCAGTTATGAATATGATAGGAAGGAATAATTGATAAAAACTGCGAAATAAAAACATGAATACATTTATACATGATGAAATGATAAGAAGCTATGAAACATTAATTTTATATGTACTCAAAGATATAAAAATTATTGAGTTAAGTGAAATAATATGGAAAAAGATATTTGACTATGAGATGGAATTAGAAAACCAAACATGGTATGAAATAGACTTACAAGATTTATACTTAGATATTGAAAGAATGGAAGATTTAGAGATAGAATATTCAAATTAAAAAATGATTTATAAATATTTACAATATTGGACAGAAGCTATAGAAGATATAAAACTAGTTATGAAATCTAAGTGGCTTGTATGTAGTCCTTCGGGATTCTATACGCCATGTTACATCTAGGGGATACCCCTGGATCTTGACAAATTATTAGTTTACCACTTCTATTTTTTCCCATATTTCGTTGTGAAATTATAAGAAAGTACAATTAAAAGAAATGAAAAGTAATATCTACGGATTCATCTCCGGTGTGTTCTTTATGTTTTTTCATTTTTTGTCTCTATCCACTGTTGATGCAATTTGGTTTTGGAAAAATGTTTTCTCTCCATTCACTTTTACTCGTAACTTAATTCTAAAATACATTTTTATTTTTATTTGTCACTTTTGATATATCATGAAAAAATAATTATTTTTTCCATATTTTAACCCTAGCATTAAATACAATTTTCCATATCATTTTTAAAAACCCAATACTAAAAATTTATTGGCAGGGGAAGTGTAGTAAAATACATATAAATAATTATTTTTTAATGATTGTGTCAAGTAAAAACTAACAAATAAAAATGAACGGAACGAATAAAATGTTTATTATCTCAATAACTAATGAGCTGCAAGAAAATAGGTCTTTTTAAAAAATATATATTTTGTATAAGATTTTTAGTCAAAAAAATTAAGGAAGAAATTCAAAGTTCTAAGAAAAAAATAAATGTGATGTAGCCCAACGAGACATACCACCTCATTTTATTATTATTATTCAACTTTCTAATTATTTATTAATTGATTGATTTTATAACATTTTGTCTGCCTCATTACTTTTAACCTCTTAAATATTTTAAAAAGAAGAGCAATAAAATTACAAACTCAGCTTTGCTAATATTATCATAATATTTTAAGCACCTCATTGTCTAAAGAGAAGTAATTTTTTTTAATTCACGAATAATATGTAATCATTTTACATAGCTTAGCAGAGCGTTAAATTTCATCAAGTACTTCTCTTGCAATATCTAGCACCAGGATACGGATCTATATGTTGATGAAATGTTGTTCTATCAAAATACCAATCACCAATAGCTTCGGCAATTGTCTACACAAAATGTTACAAAATATATGTTATTTACTGTTAAATTAAAATTAAGAATGATAGATGTACATGATAATTTTTATAAAAAAAATGCACATATTCAAATTTTATATGAATTAAACAAATAAAAATTACCTTATTAAGTATTCTTGGAGAGGTAGCATCGAACCAATAATCTCCCCATACAATTCGTGCATGAGTGTGACAAGAAGTGATGAAATAACCCCTTGTGTAACAAGGGGTGAGTCCCTTAAGTATGTTCAAGAACTCTGCTCCAAAAGCTATATTAAAAGAAAATAGAGTAAAAAAACTTAACTAGAATTAAGGAGATATAATGCATCCATTTACACTTCTGTTTTTTTTGGAAGGTGGTATGAATAAGTTGATTACCAAAAAAAATGCTAACCTTGAATATTTATAATTTGGCTAGATGTGCAGTTACTTATTCGATCCCTGCAATACTCCCAGGCATGTTGAGAATCGAGGTTTGAAGGAACCAAGGTATTACTTATCTGAAAGAAATGTGTTTAGATGGATTCAATAGAAATTTTAAAAACATACTAGAGAAATTCTTAAAATGAGCGAAATTAATGTTTGTATCCTTGACCTGCCAAGCATCATATGCTGAATTGATTATAAATAGAGGAGTCTCAATATACGGAATAATATTTTCAGGGAAGAAGCACTGCACCATCATTAAGGAAAAGCCATGTTATAATTAAAAGAAAGGTGCATTGCTCCATCAGCAAAAAGGTTTATGTTTTCAAAAAACATAAATTCTTACGTACCGAACTCGGTTCCATTGTTGACGTGCAAGCTTGAGGCAAATTCTTCGCCGATTCCTAAAATGAGAGCAAAGATAATTGTTACAGTAAAAAGATTATTTGCATCATCTACTTGTTTAGAAACAAAAAAAGATGGTGCTCACATGTAAAATAACAACTCTCTCGTACATATTTTGAATATTTGGAGTACCAAAGATTGTGTTGCTGCATAATAAATCATGAAACAATAGGTTAGTTCAAATTTTATATGAATTAAACAAATAAAAATTACCTTATTAAGTATTCTTGGAGAGGTAGCATCGAACCAATAATCTCCCCATACAATTCGTGCATGAGTGTGACAAGAAGTGATGAAATAACCCCTTGTGTAACAAGGGGTGAGTCCCTTAAGTATGTTCAAGAACTCTGCTCCAAAAGCTATATTAAAAGAAAATAGAGTAAAAAAACTTAACTAGAATTAAGGAGATATAATGCATCCATTTACACTTCTGTTTTTTTTGGAAGGTGGTATGAATAAGTTGATTACCAAAAAAAATGCTAACCTTGAATATTTATAATTTGGCTAGATGTGCAGTTACTTATTCGATCCCTGCAATACTCCCAGGCATGTTGAGAATCGAGGTTTGAAGGAACCAAGGTATTACTTATCTGAAAGAAATGTGTTTAGATGGATTCAATAGAAATTTTAAAAACATACTAGAGAAATTCTTAAAATGAGCGAAATTAATGTTTGTATCCTTGACCTGCCAAGCATCATATGCTGAATTGATTATAAATAGAGGAGTCTCAATATACGGAATAATATTTTCAGGGAAGAAGCACTGCACCATCATTAAGGAAAAGCCATGTTATAATTAAAAGAAAGGTGCATTGCTCCATCAGCAAAAAGGTTTATGTTTTCAAAAAACATAAATTCTTACGTACCGAACTCGGTTCCATTGTTGACGTGCAAGCTTGAGGCAAATTCTTCGCCGATTCCTAAAATGAGAGCAAAGATAATTGTTACAGTAAAAAGATTATTTGCATCATCTACTTGTTTAGAAACAAAAAAAGATGGTGCTCACATGTAAAATAACAACTCTCTCGTACATATTTTGAATATTTGGAGTACCAAAGATTGTGTTGCTGCATAATAAATCATGAAACAATAGGTTAGTTCCAAGAAATGAGCTGAGTAAAAGATTAAGACGATGGAAGAATAGCTCACGCATTAATGAAGAAGCCTGCATTTGCAACACACTTTACTTTGACAGCATTGTCAGGAAAGAAGGACTTGAACTTGTCGCAGTTCAAGATTGTTGCCAACCCTCCCGCGGAAGTTCCACTCAAGATTGCCTGACATTAATTATATTTTTATTTTTCATGTTGTGTTACATGACTTGTAATTAAAAATATTAAGTAGGCCGATATTACATTTTTAGCATATTGCATTCTTTTCCTCCATAAATCATCCATAACAGCTTTAAATATTCTTGCTCCTCTAAAATAAAGCTTCTTTTCCTGACATTTCCAATCAGAAACAAATCACGTTATGTTAGAGTGATATATATGAGATATGTAATTACGATCAACTTACTGGATCAACATGTTCAACATCACCAGTAAAAGATGATCCATCGCAGTAATTCACCCACACTCTGTTCCAGTTGTAAAAGTCTACCAATTCCAATATCGTTCGCAAGTTAGATAAATTAAAGTGTGTAAAGTTCTATGTATACTTATAAAGAAAAAAGAACCAAAATATAACAGTCATATGAACTAAAATACGATGAGTTTCACCTGGATTTTGTTGGGGAGTGTTATGAAGTATCCCAGCAAATTGTGATTGATTCTTCATATTCTTGGAAGATCCTTTTTCTGTAATTGAACGATTTTTGCAATCGGAGATGCTTTCACACCATCCACCTCCCTATATAATATGAAATATCTCTGGTCAATACTGTTAATAATTTCCACATCGGAAAAGGGATGAGAATTTGGTCTCCTTATATGGACTTGGAAAATCCTCCCTTCAAAAGCTAGCTTTTGAGGTTAAGTTAGACCCAAAATCTATCTTTATATGGTATCAGAGTCAAGCTCATCCCAATTTTTTTGTTCACCGATGTTGGCCCCCATATTATAGTGTCCAATTTTTTTGTTCACCCATGTTGGCCCCTCATATTATAGTGTCCACGCTCCAGTTAACAAGCTCTGGGCGTGCGGGGGATCGGAGTGTTAAGAATTCCCATATCGAAAAAGGGATGGGAATTTAGTCTCCTTATAAAGACTTGGACAATCCTCCCTTCATAAGCTAGCTTTTGAAGTTGAGTTAGACTCAAGATCAATCTTTACAAATACGTAGAATAAAATGTACAATCAAAACTAAAAAACAACAACAAAAAGAAGTAATTACATCAAGGAAGATAATCCAGTTGGAAAGTCCTGTATCAAATCCCTTGTCAAAGTAATATGCAGGTGGACTCCCATCTAGACACACTGTTTATGAAACAAACAGTTAAACAATTTTATCTTTTTTCACGTGAAGGAAACTGGAAACAATATAATTTATATAATCAAGTAAAAAAAAAAAAAAATTAAATTACCAGCGCCTTGTGTTGTGGCATTGTCAAGTACAGTAATATTGATCTGCAGTCCATATCCAACATCCCCGAACAATATTGCTAACAAAACAATCAGTAGAAACGTTGCCATCCGATCCTACACAATTATATATATTAGGAGTAATAAGATTGATGATGAGGACCAAAATATGATAATAATCGGTGTGTATATACATAATTTCTCATTATTTACCTTCTCAATAAAAAGAATTTTTTTATTGTGAATTAAAGATCCAAAAGATATAAAATATCTTCTTTGTGAGTAAGTTTAAAATAAATTAAACACTTTTTTCTTCATGAAATATACATTAATCATATAGCTAACGGTTTTACCTTAAAAAATAAATAATCATATAGCTAACGGTTTTACCTTAAAAAATAATGTTTTTTAACATAAGAACACGAATAAATAAATAACATTTAAAATGAAATGTTTTTCTTTACATTGACTAGTTAGGCGATTGAAATGAACTTCTTTGTGAAAAAGAATAAAAACGATTTGTATTTTTTTCGAATGAACCATCATTTTAAATAAAGAACATTTTATCATCTTCAATATTGATGTATTTCGGATACTTAGCTTAAAGCCGCGTTGACGTACAAATGATTTTCTAGAGGAGCGTGTGGTCAATTAATTGTGCTCAAATTTCCACTTTCAATTTTTAGTATAATATGTATTTAAAATTATATAATATTATTATTTATTTTACTTTTCATTTTAGTATATTATGTATTTAAAACAAACAAATTAAAAAATTATGAAAATAGTATTGTAAATCACAATAATCAATAATTTAAAATATTTAGAAACACGTATAAAAATTTGGTTAACTCTCTGAATATCACCTATTCCACATAAATTGAAACTAAGGGAGTTATATATATTATTTGAAATTACGTTAAAAGTATTATAATTCACAATAATTATTTATTTGAAATATATCAAAATTTTGATTAACTTTCGAAATTTCACCTATGCCGCATAAATTGAGACAGATGGAGTAACATATATTATTTAAACATTACCTTAACTAAGAGTCCCATAAATCATAATAATAACAACTTAAAATATTTTAAGCTATATATTAAAATATTGATTAAATCTCAAAATTTCACATGTACCACAAAATAATAATTATTAACAATTTGAAATATTTAAGCAAATAAATTAGAAAATTGATCAACTCTCAAAATATCACATGTGCTACAAATATTGTTTGAAAAATACGTTAAGAATATTATAATAATAACTAACAACAAAAAATATTTAAAAAATTGTGTCACATAAATTAAAACAAATAAATTAATAAATATTGGAAATAAAAAAATAAATTAGAAAACCCTTTGGGTCATTAATATATAAAGTGGGTCCAATAGTTCAATTAATTAGAGGAATTCACATAGATAGACTACGGCTACATACAATTGACAACATATAACCCAACATTAATTAGCAATTAATAGTCAAATAGAAAATTGGCACATATTAGTGCAAAGTATTATATCGATATTTTAATAGAGATTTTCTTTTACTTCGTGTAACCACCCGAAAATAAACAACAACAAATAAGAATACGTGGGATAAAAAATTTCATCCGTAGTTTTTACTCGTGTATTGAAAAAGATGGCGATTCAGTTTTTATATAATTCGTCAAACAAAAATCAGTACAGTGTTTCGAAAATACAAACTGCAATGTACATCAACAACGATAATCAAGATATAGATTTCATCTTTTAATGTTTTGATTGATCATAGAGTATAATGAGATAGTAAAAATAAATTTATGAATGATTTCATGGAATAGAAATTGCAATGGAGATCAACAACGATCATCAAAATATAGATGTCACATTTGATTGTCTTGATTCATCATAGATGAGAGTCTGATAGTAAAAATAATTTTGTGGGTTATTCCATGGAAGGTGTGTTTATTACAATTGATTTCACTGGGTTCATTAAATTAATTTCAATTTTGTTAGTTAATGAATTCAATTTGTTCTGATTGTATAATTGTCGATTGTGTATGGGTAATGTATTGAATATTTATTCAATAAGTAGTTGTATACATTTCAATTTATGCTATCAGTGGCAATGTATACATATTCAAATATGCATTAAAATACACTGAATTGATTGATTTTTGCACAAATATATGAATAATCAGTCAATTGTGTATACATAAAAGTATGATGTATTCATTCAATTAATAGTTTTGTACATACATATTCATGTACTCAAAGAATACATATTCATGTATTCATTCACGTAGAATTTGTATACGTTGAACTTATTGGTTTTTACACAAATGTATGCACAATCATGTATACAATTACTAATTATTTTTGTACAAACCTTTTCAATTCCACAAATCAAGGACCCATTTTTTTCTGATAACGACGATATAAAGTTTTTAGAATGTCAAGTAAATATAGTCACAATAATTACCGAATAGTTTTTAAAATAATGAATGAGAAGAATAAAACAATAATTTTACATATTCAAAAAATAGAAGACCAATCAATGAAAGCGTGTCTTGGGAAAGATGAGAAAAATCAGGAGAAAAAAACACCACTTTCCAATAAAATTAAAACGTGGGGCAAAGAATGAAAAAAAGAGAGACAAAAAAGGGGAGAAACTCTATTTTAAAATGATTGACAAGTAATAAGAAGAGAAAAAAGGAACAACAAAACAATTTTTTTAATTATTTTTCAAGAAAAAAAGGAGGACCAATCAACGGAAAAAAACAGAGAAAAATTAGGAGATAGATACTCTTTTTAAGAAAAAGAAACATGGTCATTAAGTGCTAAATAAATTAGTATACGTGTCCGCGCATTGCGTGGATAATTTAAAATGTAATAATTTTATAATTAAAAATAACTAATAAAATGTATTATGCACTTAATAATATAATTTAATTTATAATAATGCAATAATATTAATCATTAACTTATTTATTTGAGCATATAATCAAATATGAAATGCTTCAAATATATTTACGTGTTTGTAATTTATTCTTTTTATGTCATTTGAATAAAAAAATTATGTTAATAATTTATTAATTCTAACATTTCATATAAAATATTTGATATCCTGAAATTAAATGGCATGTTAATACATTTTCTATATATGTTTTAGTTAAAATCAAAATATTTTTAAAAATATTTTTTAGTATTAAATTTGTGTAAAAATATAATAATATAAAATTGAAAAGGTAAAAATAATCTTAATTAATAGAACCGCTATATTAGATTTACTCAAAGTTTGTATTGGTTATTTTAAAATTTTAATTTTAATTGTATTAGAAAACATATGAATGAGAGGTTGTTGATTTGAATTTATCTGCTTGAGTATATTATGTGTAATAATAGTTATCTTTGTATTCAAAAATAAATTTAAAAATAAATTGAAAATTAAAAATTGTACCATATATTTTAGAATCGCAATTTTCAACTTAATTTAATGTTGTTATTATATAATATTGTGAATTCTTAAATTTGCTAAATGACTTATATTTGTTATATTGTTCAAGATAGAATTTAACGCTTGCTAGATATAGATAAATATTATTTATCTTAAATCCAAAAGTTTAAAGTTAATGAAATTTTAAAGTGACCAGTTATATTTAATTAGGACTTATCCGTAACTTATTTATATAATTGGCTACTTAAAATTTAAAATTCAAAATGAATTGGTTAATAGTTATCGAATCTTAATTTTTAGCAACATGGAAAAGAAGTTTTAAAACTCCCTATTTAATTGGATAAATGTTTTTTCTAAATAAAGATTAATTCGGCATTGAAATTGTAATTTTTATAAGCGTAAGATTTTGCAATGTTTTATAGTGTTTGCAATTTTTATTTTTAGTGTTTGCATTTTTACGTAACTTTTTTTTGTGTTTGCAATTTTTAACCTTTTATTTTTTGGTCAATTTTAAAAGTTAACAATGAGATATAGATATATAGACTACCGCTTTACATATATTTTATTAGTTTTCTAATCAAGGATTTTATATATAAATGAATTATTCTTCTTATCATGTTTAAAATATATTAAACATTTTATATATAAATGCAGCAATCTATTTATATAAAATAATAGTGAATTCTTCTTATTATTTTTAAAATATTAAATTTAGAAGTTGTGGAAAGATAGTTAAAATATTTCACATTAAAAATATATGATAAATTCCCATAAAAAAGGGAATCACATACCTTATTAAATATTTTGTGTTCTTAATACAAAATAAATAGATAATTATAACTTTGTAAATCCTAAATTTTAGCAGCATTATCTTAAACATTTATCATGAAAGTAAAATTTTCAAATTTTATTTTAAAAAATCAAACTCCAATATTTTTTAAGATTTTAATAATAAATACAGTTATTCCCTATTTTCTAGAATCGATTTAAAATCATTTTAAAAATAATTTTATTAATTTAAAAAAATCAGTTTTTTAATTAGTTATATAATATTTATTTAGTTATATAATATTTAGTTATATATTATTTAAAATTCTAAAAATTTGTGGCACTGACATGTGACATGTTTTCTTCTCCTATTATATATAGATAGATCTATAGATAGATTATTATTATTATTATTATCTGCATTTTTGTTATAAATAAATATGTTGTATTTTTAAATTTTAAACTAATAACTACCCACTAAAACCAATCCTTAAAATTCTTTTAATTAACGTGAATCACGTTTTATTTATTTTTGAATTTTGAAACTAATAACTATACTCACTTCACAATTAAAATTTTCATATTTAATATTTATTTTTAAATTTTAAAGTTTAAATTATTATGGTACACTAAAACCACCCTTAAAATTCTCCACTAACTAATCTATCAGCATTTATCTTTATTAAATTATAAATTATTTTTAATTTTAATTTACTATTACTCTCTTCTTTCATTTTATGAATTTTTTTATTTGTTTAGTCTTTTTTTCTAATAGGTATATATTTTATTCTTCAGTAGTTTATTTCAAGTCAATTCTAATTCAAAATTTTAAAAGTAATAATGTCAATTATTATATTAGATTTTAAAATATGTCGAGAAAATTTTATGTGGTAGAATGAAAA